TGAAACTAGATGTTGATAGCATAAGGTTCAAAATGAGTCATAAAACAACTACTCCGAACTCACCGCTTTAGGTTGAATTCGACAGTTGTCGAGGTCAATGTGACAATGATTGCAAAGCTATTTGACCTTCAAGGCCGTTTCAAAAAAGGCAGTGATTTTGTGCTTGTTGTGGTTATCCTTGCCTTTGTGTAATTGTTGCATCAAAAGCAATCTTGGTCTATATTAAATCACTTTAGTTAAGGTTTGGAATCTTGCTTAAGTTTGTCTTGTGGTACCCTTTTATTCATCGACTGACACTTGTGTTCATATTGTGATCATATTGTGTTTTACACCTTAATCTGACTAAATTGCTTGGTAGCACTCACAACCGGGGACAACCAAACTGCTTGTTCCCTGTGGAGGAAGGAATGCAGTGCGATGAATGCAAAAAGTCGTTCCTTAAGATGTATATCCGTTTAAGTCCAACCGCATACAAAAGATGTTCGAAGCCTAACTCACATTAGCTTTGCATGTTTTGCTGTGCAAATAAGACGTTATTAATACTGGAGGCTATGAACCTATTGGCTTTGGCCTGTAATAAAACGATGGCCCATGCGCTGATAACACGAGCACTGACAGTGACGAATATGTCAGTGTAGTACCGACTGTTACGAGACGCCTCAAACACCCGACTGTGCCACATGAAATTGACATTAGTAATCATGCACTTCTAGTGGGAATTGAAGATCCGTATAAAACCGCCACCGTTCCAAATAGTTCCGGTGTCCTGAGTGATGAAAAATTGACTACAGTACGGAGAAAACTAAACTAATAGAAAAAAGCTGTAGGCAGCACGCAGCTGGTTGGCAAGTCATTGTTGGACTCTCATTGTGAGTCACAAAATGCACTACCAAAATCTGATAGTAAGAGAGAAACCCACGCTGGCATGACTGAGAAGGAGAATCTGTAGTGGCATTGAACCATAACCACACAATCCTCAAAGCTGAACACGAGACAATCGGGAAAATAGGTATTCAATATTTAACGCGGAGAAACACCTAACGATGGAGAAGGCAGGAACAAGGAGTTGAATTAATTCTGGTTGATCGGATGGCATAACTCGGCCTTGCAGGCGTGGTCCCTGTTGAATGTTACCTTATATCTTTTTTTCATATTAAATATATTGTTCTATCTCTAGCCTACGCTTGTTCTCCATCATGTATTGGTGATTGTTACGATGCAATGGGTTAGTGTAGACGATAATGTGGCTTTCACGTAAGATATTATAGATTAGGCAGTTATATCATGACAAGTTTACAATTTTAGGATTAGGTCTATTATTAACGCAATACTAATATCATAGTAGGCCATAATTCTACAGATCTAATATCATCGAATATTATTGTGAGCGAATTGCTGGAGTCAAACGACCATGATCCCAAAATGAGACACGCAGATGACTTAGAGAAGCTGGGAGAATATATTCGCAGTATCTTACCAGATAACTCCAATGGAGTTCAGGTCAAGAAACTCATTAGAATAGGCAAGAGGACCGAGGACAATGTTGAGCCCTGACCATGCAAACTCCTTAAGGTAATCCCAGGATCAGAGAAGCAACGGGATCTCTCGTTAAGTAGCGCACGTTGTCACGACAATTCTGACATCCGAGTTAGACCTGATATGTCTCTCGAAGATAGAATAAAGGGGAAGAAAGCACTAGCTTAACTTAACCCGTCGGCAAAACGACGAAGAAAATCTCCGGATTGTGGGTTTTCGGATAGTCAGGTTTTGGAAGAGAATGCTGACAAGGCTTGTGTGGATAGGCCAATCAACCTAGAAGTTTTATATGCCAACGTTCGTAGAATAAGAAATAAGTTTTATGAACTAGAGGCATTAATGGGTAGATTAAGGTCACTCATTATAGCAGTGACAGAAACTTGGTTAGTCTATGACTTAGACATTACTCCAGAATTATCCGTATATCATTACCTAAGGAGTGATAGGCATGGATGTAGAAAAGGAGAAGGCGTTTTGTTATATATAGCCAATAATATAAATATCCTCTCCTCTGCTAGCGAATCCCATGAAAGCGGTGCTTGTGAAGTTATTAGCTGTAAATTGGCTATCATATGTAGTACATTTCTGCTAAGTTTCATCTATCGCAACCCAATTGGCTTAGCTGATGACTTTATTTTTGAGCAGATTCATCTTTGGAGTGCATATAGCAGATACTTGATAATAGGAGAAATTAAAGCACCTGATATCGGTTGGACTGAGATGACCATGGAAAGATCTACAAACTCCTTTGATAGTAGGTTCCTGATAACAATAATGGAGCATGCATTAGTGCATTATGTGTCCAAACCCACTCGTTTTGGTGCTAACCAAGGTTCTTCTCTGTTGGACTTGGTAATCACTCATGAGACTGAGGATATTGTCGACTTAAATATTCTTCCACCCTTAGTGAATAGCGATCACGCTGTTTTGTCATTTGCGTTTAGAACTAGGAACATGTTATACGATCAGGTTACACCCCGTCCAAATGTATGGAAAGCTAACATGTCAGCCATTCATAAATAAGCTGCTAAGAGAGATTGGCTTGTAGATACTAGTTTATCAGTTGAAGAAGCATGGTCTATACTTAAAGATAAGTTTAGTTTAGTTGCGTCCTCGTTTATACCATACTTGGTACCGCGAAGACCGAATAACAGTCCACCATGAATAACTAAACCCGTCAGGAAACTTCTTAGAAAAAGGAAGGAGCACTGGGATATGTTCATCTCTACTGGCTTAGAGCAATACAGATCCAGTTATTGTAAGATCAGAAATACTTGTAAAGCCTTGATAAGTAAGACTAGACGACTATAAAAAAACAGTTGGTTAGAGATTCTAGATATAGTCCGAAACGGTTATTCTTTTATTTAAAAAGGCAAACTCAGAGAAGCGATGGAATTCCATCACTTTCGATACAAGAAAATCCGTTAATCTTGGAAGAAAGTGATACCGAAAAAGCTGAAGCTACATCAGAATATTTCAGCAGTGTTTTTTATTAGTAATGAGGAACGACCAACAATTCATTATGATTGTGGCGGCTCGCTGATGGACCGCATAGTCATTGAAAAAGGCGCTGTTTTAAGGCTACTTCAGCACCTCAAACCTGATAAATCCAGTGGTCCTGATGATATTCATACTAGGATTATGAAAGCCATATCAGATGTAATCTCTGAGACATTAGCGATACTGTTTGACATGTCTCTGAGGCAGTCCAAACTGCCCAGAGATTTGAAAGACGCTATAATAAGTTCGGTGTATAAGGTTGGGAGTAGGGATTTAGTTAGTAACTGAAGACCCGTTAGCTTGACCAGTGCGTTTGTAAAGCTGATAGAAGAAATTATTCGGATATCTGTTATAAACTATGTTGAAGGGCATAATCTTTTCTCCAGGGAACAACATGGTTTTCGGATAGACCTATCATGCTTGATAAATCTTCTCATTGCAAGAGAAGATTGGGCTGCCGCAAAAGATCGAAATGTTCTTGTGGATGTGATCTTCATAGACCTAAGTAAGGCCTTCCATAAGGTCTCCCATTCTGGTCTTAAATTTAAACTGGAACGTTTTGGAATCCATTAAACTGTCGTAGAGTGGATAAGTAACTTTCTCCAAGACAGGAGACAAAGGGTAATGGTAAATGAGGCTCTCTACTCGTGGGTACCTGTAAAAAATGGAGTTTCCCAAGATACAATCCTCGGTCCTCTTCTCTTTTTACTCTGTGTTAGTGAATTACCATCCGTTCTACTCTTTGCCGATGACATATAGATTTGGAGACCCATACACAGTATGTCAGCTAGGATACTATTACTGGATGATACCAGCTCATTGGTGGCATGGTCGGACAAGTGGTCACTGAGAGCTAATCCTAATAAGAGTGGTGATGCAAATAAATAACTATGATGAATCGTATCACTATACAATATGTGGATTCGTGCTACCCAAACTAAGAAACCATAAAGATTTAGGAGTCATATTAAGCAGCTGAAGATGACACAGGTATTAAGTGTTTGACAACGCTTCTACCAGTAACACCTAATATGATTTGTACCCACCGAGAGAAATCAAAAGACAGAGTCGAGGAGATCGGAAGAGTATATTTGGCGATAACCACTATATCGGAATTCTCTGACCTAATCTGGCTAGCGATTGCGGTAGATGTTGAGCACGGCGTTACCACACGTGATCTGGTGTGGATGCCTGACCGAGCGCCTTCAGCTAGATGAGTTCACTAAAACATGTGGTCAGTATCCAATGTCGAAAACTTACAGGGCTATTTATTTTGGGGATTTATTTACCGCTACACAATGAACTCGAAACCACTAGTCACTGTAAAGCTGCTGCTGCAATAGGCTATAGGGTATTATGGTCTATTCGTTAGACTTTCCAGTATTTAGATGATGAAATGTTCGGATTATTATGCCCGATTTACGTGCGACCACATTTAGAATATGGGATTCAAACAGCGAGCCCTTGCTTCAAGTATGAAGCAGACATGTTGGAAAGAGTTCAACGACGAGGTACTAAGATGTTGAAAGGTCTATCTGCCCTGTCTTACGAAGACAGACTGAGACACATCAACTTATTTCCGTTACCGTAGAATACGGGGTGATCTAATATTGGTTTATCGTATACTGGACGATGATCTTGGTATTAACATGTCTTATCTCTTGCTTCCGTCTAGCACCGATCATTTGAGAGAACATTCGAAGGAAGTTCAAAAACCGAGATCAAATCGTTTACGCCTGGAGTTCCGCGGAACGCGTTTCTCGCATTGATTAGTGAATTACCTGACTTCTCTACCGGAACACGTAATATCAGCACCTTCTGTTGATATATTCAGGACGAGATTGAACCTCCACAGTATTACACACTGAAAAGATTAATATAGGTCGACAGACCTATCCTTATCACTGAAGACTGAAGGCCGCAGTTACTTGCGCCAGTATTGAAGGTCGTCGAACCTTTTCGGAATGAAATGGTGCTGGTTGAATTTTTGTTACTGTATCTTTTCTGTTTTGTTGGTATGTTGGCTACTAAACGTATAAATTAACTTCAGTCAAGTATTAGCTTGTCGTACGGAAGACACACATCAAATTGGGCTGTTCTTGTAGATACTTCGCGGTTCTGGTTCAACTATCGACATATAAGCAATGTCCTTTCAATTTATCGAAGTATCAAGCGCCTCGGAATACCAGATAGGTATCATATTTATTATTATATTTATTCATCTTAAAAGCCGTATTATTTTGATGGTGGCTGATGATGCAAGTTGTAGCTCGAGAAATCCGAGACCAGGTAAGATATTTGACGTATCCTTATGGTCTTAGCAACAATCTTCAACAATCCTTACAGTCGGGTAAATTTGTATGGCGAAGAGATAGAGATTGATTATCGTGGTTACGAAGTTACTGTAGAAAACTTCATTCGTATATTAACTGGGCGTTTACCTCCTTCGACACCTACTTCTAAGCGCCTCAATACTGACGAGCACAGTAATATCCTAATATATATGACAGGTAGTTCCTAAAAACTTTAATTCCGGCTTCAGGCCATGGTGGTGATGGTTTCCTTAAGTTTCAAGATGATCATGAGCTTTCTAACAGTGAACTGGCCGATGCGATTGAACAGATGTGGCAAAAACGTAGGTGAGTCTGGATTTATCAGTTTTTAACTTGAAAAGTTGAGTCCATACTCTTCAAAGGCACTGTTTTATCTGTTGGTTACAGCGGTCTAATTTATGGCAGAACGAGGACTAAATTTTTACACTTCTGTGCCTGCTTACTGTGCTGATCTAAGTTTATGGGTTTAATATTGAAATTTAACAATTTGACTAACCCTGTTTGATGTTCAAAAGTTCAAATAGTTGTTTTTCAGATTGGTGTAGTAAGGACAGGGCTTTATGCCTATGTTTTTCTTTTTCTAGTATGGTTTTGTGAGTGCCTAGTCTTTTCTCGAACGAGTCAATTGAAAGTGCGGACACCACTGCTTCGGGTAACAGGTTCCAAGTATTGATGACTCGGTATAAAATCCTGCATGCCACGGGTATTTTGTTCGCTCTTCGCTTCTATACTCTTATGTCCTCTGAGATGTCCCGATCTTGTGGGAAGAAAAAGAGAATATATTAGGTCCAAAATCATTTCTTAGTATTCTACACATCAGTACTAGATCTCCCGTTAGTCTGCGATAGGACAGAATAGAGAGGTCCAGCTTTTCAAGCCTCTCTTTGTATGGTGAACCCCGGAGTTCTGGAATTGCACGGGTAGCTGCCCTCTGTATTTTTTCCAGGATATCCGAGTCACTTTTTATTGTAAACAGCAGCATTATTATGTACAAGTCTGTCGTTGGAGATGTTATTATTACGTAAATGACAAATTAGTCGTTTATGCATACTGTTTATGTTCCTGGCTGTTAAAGATACACTAATTTTCACTTCATATGGAACATATAGAAGTATTAGCCCCTCAAAAATAAGCATATTCTCAATACCGATTAAATGAAGCTATCAGCCATTTCATAAGCATTCATAATAAACGCCAGCATGTTTATAGCTGTTTATTCGACATCATTTGTATCGATGACCCAGAACTTTCAAATTTACACTTACACATTCAAAATGGTAGACTCAAAAAAAGCTATTGAGATCTCGAGTTTACTAATCAAGATTAAATCAACTTGTATAGAGCATCCTCCTAAGTAAACCATCTTCAATCTGAGCACCTGGGCACAAACCCAATGATGACTACAACTGGAAAAAAATCATGTCCGATTCAATTCTTATTCTCTTGAAGTATACTCTCAGCTTTCCGGTAAAATTCGTTTCTATTTTGCATTGCGTTACGTGTCTGTTCCCTTTTATTCCCACTTTATGTATTTATTTATTTCTCAACTCATACAGCAGCTCTCCTGTGGTGGGAATCCTGTCCCATGTAAAAGATCTCAAGTCACTGGCTCGTCGAGATTTTAAGGCTACTACCGAACACGAATTCTGAACCAACCTTTCTAAAACCATGTGTGCCATTTGAACTGGCCTCCAATGTTCGCACACTAGTGTAAATCGCACGACAGATAGATTGGATGCCTTTAGGAAGTCTCGCAATCGATGTCTTTTGTCCATCTTGGGCACGTATTCAACACTAGTGAAGTACTGTCTATTCTTTCCCCATCTATCGCTCCAAAAAGCTTGTTCCATGTGCATTTATTCAGGGACTCTGTGGCATCTTCGTATTGATTTGCTGGAGAAGTTAATTGTTTTTGGCCACTGAAACGTAAGATTAACACAAACAATGGCATAATGAGAGTCCGGATTAATACTCCAAAAGGGGAGGTAGTTTTATACACAACCTCGCATGTAAGTAGGATTTCCCTACCTGTGGAGATGTGCTCCGTGCCATATGAGAGAGCATTCTAAGGAGGTTGACAGACTCTCCTCATCTTCGGTTGTACCAGTGTGTTCTGGGGCTAGAAATTCTTGTATGAAGACCACAAAATAAGTCTCGTCTTCTTAGAATTTAGAACCATCTATTATTTACACCTGATACCACAACTTGACGATTCGTTTTAAGTTTTTCTTTATGAAATGTCTTGAAGTTGATGTCATTAAAATGTTCTTGCTCAATTTATTAACCACTAAATCTACTTATTTCCTAAATAGGTATCATGAATTACTATTCATTGTCGATACATGTCAAGCTGAATCAATGGGCAAGTTGTTTTATTCGCCTAATGTAGTAGCCATCGGTAGCAGTGCTATAGGAGAAGAATCATTATCTGTGAGTTCAAGTTGATATTTCTCAAGGCAATACTTGAAGCTTTATTCTTTATGCACGGTCTACTTGTCATTCATTTTGATATGAATTGTCTCAGTCAACACTGAGAATATTAGCTTGCTTCAACTCATATTTGCATCCACTTTTCATTGATTAAGATTCACTGGCTTTCTTATTACACAGTTCTCTTTTAACTACCACCCTATCGAATGTTTTGAAATGTAATCCATCATTTTGACTTAGGTGGTTAGAAGGTTCCGAAATATTTTCCCTTATTCAGTCGTACAAATTATCTATATACGTTTTTCTGTGTAGTTAAATTGAGTTTTTAGTGACCATAAATCTGACTCCGATTTTATCGTATGCCGATTGCTATCTAAATATACATCCTCGTATGTTATCATCGACTCAAATCAAGTTAGTGAATAATGAATTTTTGAATACGTATATTTCATACAATCGTTGATCTGATCAGCCAATAAAGGAGACGAGGCGAAGAGGAGAGAGAGAAGCTAAACTAAATGACGCGCAGTGGAGAAGGCGAGTGAGCCAACTCGATTTGTAATCCAACAAAAAATCAAGTTACAGACGAGATGAGTAAGATAAGAAATGTACACACATTAATACGCTCATATAAAAACAGTCAAGGTTGATAAACGAATAAGTGACAGGGTAAAAATGCGGCTTGAAAAGAATGAATAGATCGATCTGTCTAGAGGCTAGAATAACCTATGTGGACTTGACATAGTACCAGCCCCTACATGTTTATGAAATGAAATGGCTGCAAGACGTGCTGAACCGAAACTACGGACGAAAAATTGACTGTACCAAAAATGCTAATGAATAACGATGTCGAGATACAACTAGGGTGTATCATAGATGTATTTCCTGCTATGAATTCTACGATATATTAGTATTCCTCCAAACAAACAATACTCAACTGGCAAGAGTTAGAAACTCAATATTAAAGGAAAAACAACGAAATTGTGCATATATGTTCAAATGTAGTGACTGTAATGCTGTATATGTGGGTAAAACAACTACAGCAGAATTTGAGTGTGAAGCATACTCTTTAATCCTCAAATGACTTGAAGGAAAGTTAACAAACAAGTCAGTGATACCGTTAGATTTAGTTGAGTCCGGATGTATAGTTTATTTCAGTGACACTAGACTCCTACATATATAGGCAAACCCAAACAATATTTATATGAGAGATGGAATACATTCAACTTAATTTTACACCTTATTTTATTCATCTCTTGGACAATAACAATTACTTTCACTTGTTCTAATCGATTGGTTAGTCCGAATATACAATAAAAAATCAACGTGGTCGACACAATCACGTGAACATGTATTTCTTTATTTATCCTCAAACGATGAACGGTGTGACATGTTTGATTCATATCATCTGTCAAATGATCTAATTTCAATAAATTTCTAATCCGAGACGAAATGGTCGATGCATTTTTCTGGCGTAAGATCTAAATATACTTGTTATATCTTAACACAATTTCTCCACTTTTAATACCCAATATAGACATAAGCGAACAATATTGTTTTCGATTAGATCCTCATCAGGCTTTACTCTAATATACAGTAATATTTATATGCATATATGAAATTATTAAACCAATCAAGGTAGTTTATAAGTCAATGATAACAATAAAAACGATTACATAATAAGTGAAACGTGAAAAGTACAAATTGATGGTGTGACAACAGGTGCATTAGTTTTGATAAGAATAATAGAGGTTCAAACCAATGTTACATAATCGGAAATAGGTCAATGATTAGGAAAATATAGAAACTGAGATAACAATTATAAAATTATAAGATGACGTAATAAGAAATGTTCAGATAATTGGACCATGAAACGTATAGTTGAGAGAAAATAAAGTGGTAGGAGGGTGTGATGAAAAATAATAAACGAAGAGAAAGTTAGAGAAAGAATAAATAAATTCATTTATTACTTCAGGCCAAGGGAGAGATAAGGGTGTTACAAATTTCTTCTGAACACAAAGACTTGGCTTGTTGGCTCGGATTCCTATAGCTTCTGCTATGTGTAAGAGACGAGACCGAACACCATAAGGAAAACTAGTGGGAATCCGATAAATAACTTTGAACGACTTGTTTCTGTCCACTATATGACCGCTATCGATCAAGTGTGATAGAACCGAGCTGCGTATTGTTTTGACGTAACCCCTTCCTAACCACGAAGGGAGGTGTTCACTAACTCGTTGGTTCAGTTGCCTGGTAGTGCGCCCAATATAGCTTTCTCCACAGGAGCAGCTGAATTCGTAGATACCAATAGAAGTGGCATAACCAGGTAACTTATCCTTCAATTGTGGAATCACCATCGATCGGGTCGAATACGATAGGCAGAGGTTGGCAGCATTAAATGTTCTCTTTACTGCTCTAGTCAATCTATCCCGTAATACATCGCTAGCTAAATCACCATTGAATTGCAGCTTTAAGAAAAGCGGTTTCTTATTATCCGTCAGAGTCACAATTTTCTTGTTTTGCACCCGCAAGTGTTTCTTCAGGAAACCCAGTGGATATCCCAATTCAATCAAAATATTATGAATGTGTTGTAATTCCCTATCAATTGTGTCGACTGAGCATATCTTAAGAGCTCTAACTGCAAGACATTTGACTAAGTTTCTCTTATAATGAAGAGGCACAAAGCTTAAAAAATGTGTGTATTGGCTTGGAGAAGAACCTTTTCTATACACACCTCTGCTGATAGAACCATTTTCTTTTCTACTTAACAAAACGTCCAGGAAATTTAGTTTGTTATCTATTTCTTCTTCACATGTAAATTTAATATCAGGATGTTTGTTATTAAATAGTTCCAGTAGTTGTTCTTTTCTAATGTTCTGATCGGCAATGATGAAGGTGTCATCAACGTAACGACAGTAGAAGTCCAGTTTATTGATAACCTCTTTGAGAGGTCCGTTTTCTAGTTTCGTCAGAAAAAAATCCGCAAGGATGGGACCTAGTGGTGAACCCATCGCTATACCATCAATTTGTCTATAATACGTGTTATTAAAGACAAAATAGACATTCATTGTGCATTTTAGAAGTAATTCTTTAAGACTAACCTCAGGAATTCCAATATTGATTTGTTTTTCCTGCAGTTGTTGGCACACAAGATCGATAGTCTCTGTTAACGGTACATTAGTGAACAGGGAAGCAACATCTAAAGATATCATTCGTTTACCATTTAAATTTATATGTTCCACTTTAGAAATGAAATCGAAGACGTCTTTCACGCTTCTGTTGACGACTAATTTGTGTAAGGTATTTAGGATACGAACTAGCCACTTTGCAGTTTTATGATAAGGCGAATTATACATATCTAAAACTGGGCGAAGAGGAAGACCTGTTTTGTGAACTTTAGGTAAACCATATAGTCGCGGTGTGTTCGATCCCGTAGGTTTGAGTGAGTCATGTATGTCCGGAGTAAGAATACATTTATTTTTTTAAATTCCTTCAGTGAGTTAGTCAGCAATTTTTCTGCCTTCGTATTCAAGTCCTTAACGTCATTGAGTTTCTGAAATTTTGTCGGATCATTCAAAATCACGTTCATTTTATTAATGTAATCAGCTTTGTTCATAAGAACTAGCCCGCCTCCTTTGTCCGGCTTGCTTATGATTATAGTACTGTCGTTTCTAAGTACTTGTAAAGCATCTCGGTGCTGTTTGGTAAGTGGAGTTTTCACTGTACATTTACTATTTCTGTATTGTTGGCAGATGTCTACCAACGTGGTCTTAAACCTGGTTAGTTCATCAGAAGTCGGCACCAAATCTGATGTTTGTGGAAATAAATTTTCAAACTGTACGTCTGTATCTAGTTGGTTTATTTTATTACTGTAGTCACAAAACCTAGGGCCGAGTGACAATGCCTCTAATTGCAATGTGTCTAACGTAACACTAGGGAATAATCTAAATCAGTCACTGGAACCTCATAAACCTGAAAGAAAATTTCCAATGGACCCTGAGCGGTACGTTCATAATTTCTCTAGTGTTACATTAGACACATTGCAATTAGAGGCATTGTCACTCGGCCCTAGGTTTTGTGAGTACAGTAATAAAATAAACCAACTAGATACAGACGTACAGTTTGAAAATTTATTTCCACAAACATCAGATTTGGTGCCGACTTCTGATGAACTAACCAGGTTTAAGACCACGTTGGTAGACATCTGCCAACAATACAGAAATAGTAAATGTACAGTGAAAACTCCACTTACCAAACAGCACCGAGATGCTTTACAAGTACTTAGAAACGACAGTACTATAATCATAAGCAAGCCGGACAAAGGAGGCGGGCTAGTTCTTATGAACAAAGCTGATTACATTAATAAAATGAACGTGATTTTGAATGATCCGACAAAATTTCAGAAACTCAATGACGTTAAGTACTTAAATACGAAGGCAGAAAAATTGCTGACTAACTCACTGAAGGAATTTAAAAAAATAAATGTATTCTTACTCCGGACATACATGACTCACTCAAACCTACGGGATCGAACACACCGCGACTATATGGTTTACCTAAAGTTCACAAAACAGGTCTTCCTCTTCGCCCAGTTTTAGATATGTATAATTCGCCTTATCATAAAACTGCAAAGTGGCTAGTTCGTATCCTAAACACCTTACACAAATTAGTCGTCAACAGAAGCGTGAAAGACGTCTTCGATTTCATTTCTAAAGTGGAACATATAAATTTAAATGGTAAACGAATGATATCTTTAGATGTTGCTTCCCTGTTCACTAATGTACCGTTAACAGAGACTATCGATCTTGTGTGCCAACAACTGCAGGAAAAACAAATCAATATTGGAATTCCTGAGATTAGTCTTAAAGAATTACTTCTAAAATGCACAATGAATGTCTATTTTGTCTTTAATAACACGTATTATAGACAAATTGATGGTATAGCGATGGGTTCACCACTAGGTCCCATCCTTGCGGATTTTTTTCTGACGAAACTAGAAAACGGACCTCTCAAAGTGGTTATCAATAAACTGGACTTCTACTGTCGTTACGTTGATGACACCTTCATCATTGCCGATCAGAACATTAGAAAAGAACAACTACTGGAACTATTTAATAACAAACATCCTGATATTAAATTTACATGTGAAGAAGAAATAGATAACAAACTAAATTTCCTGGACGTTTTGTTAAGTAGAAAAGAAAATGGTTCTATCAGCAGAGGTGTGTATAGAAAAGGTTCTTCTCCAAGCCAATACACACATTTTATAAGCTTTGTGCCTCTTCATTATAAGAGAAACTTAGTCAAATGTCTTGCAGTTAGAGCTCTTAAGATATGCTCAGTCGACACAATTGATAGGGAATTACAACACATTCATAATATTTTGATTGAATTGGGATATCCACTGGGTTTCCTGAAGAAACACTTGCGGGTGCAAAACAAGAAAATTGTGACTCTGACGGATAATAAGAAACCGCTTTTCTTAAAGCTGCAATTCAATGGTGATTTAGCTAGCGATGTATTACGGGATAGATTGACTAGAGCAGTAAAGAGAACATTTAATGCTGCCAACCTCTGCCTATCGTATTCGACCCGATCGATGGTGATTCCACAATTGAAGGATAAGTTACCTGGTTATGCCACTTCTATTGGTATCTACGAATTCAGCTGCTCCTGTGCAGAAAGCTATATTGGGCGCACTACCAGGCAACTGAACCAACGAGTTAGTGAACACCTCCCTTCGTGGTTAGGAAGGGGTTACGTCAAAACAATACGCAGCTCGGTTCTATCACACTTGATCGATAGCGGTCATATAGTGGACAGAAACAAGTCGTTCAAAGTTATTTATCGGATTCCCACTAGTTTTCCTTATGGTGTTCGGTCTCGTCTCTTACACATAGCAGAAGCTATAGGAATCCGAGCCAACAAGCCAAGTCTTTGTGTTCAGAAGAAATTTGTAACACCCTTATCTCTCCCTTGGCCTGAAGTAATAAATGAATTTATTTATTCTTTCTCTAACTTTCTCTTCGTTTATTATTTTTCATCACACCCTCCTACCACTTTATTTTCTCTCAACTATACGTTTCATGGTCCAATTATCTGAACATTTCTTATTACGTCATCTTATAATTTTATAATTGTTATCTCAGTTTCTATATTTTCCTAATCATTGACCTATTTCCGATTATGTAACATTGGTTTGAACCTCTATTATTCTTATCAAAACTAATGCACCTGTTGTCACACCATCAATTTGTACTTTTCACGTTTCACTTATTATGTAATCGTTTTTATTGTTATCATTGACTTATAAACTACCTTGATTGGTTTAATAATTTCATATATGCATATAAATATTACTGTATATTAGAGTAAAGCCTGATGAGGATCTAATGGATAACAATGTTGTACGCTGATATCTATGTTGTTCTAAATTTTCAATATGGGAATATTTCAAATACCAAATATCTCATACACTCTACAATAAATTTCCGTTTCAAAATTATTAACGTGATTAAATAACTTGTTTGTTATAAATTTGACCTGTGAACTATTCATATTTGACACTTTTGATGTTTGGTTATATCTCCTACAAATGTCTGGGCCAGATTGCCAAACAAAACGTTGAATTTACTTAAAGTTCAATCTCTGAGATTTTCACAAGTATAATTTTCCTCCTTAATTGATTGGTTAGTAGATATTTTGAGTTTCTCGCTGATCTTCGAAGTACATAGCTTGTATGTACTTGTTACACATCTTGTTTAATTTGTTTTAGATTTATGAATTTATTGGTTAATTTGCAATTGTTTTGTCATACAGTTGTGATGTTTCTCACTTATTGAATCCAACTAGTGTTAACAATATTGTCTATGCATCAGTTTTCTTGACTAAATTCGTAAGAATTTTTCATGTATCTCCCTTCATACAGACTGTTGGACTGGATGTGGTTGGAATTAAGATTTCCATTTAAATTTAATCATATTTCTATGACAACTAATTTTATTCTGTGCAAAAATATTCTCACTTTTATCATTCAGCTCCATTCGGATCGCGAAATTGGGACCTATGTTTCTGATCGATATTCTTACTATGCGTTTCAGTTTTTGGAGTCTGTTACTCCTTCGAGCAAAAGAACATTGTATGATTTTGTAAGTTTTAATTATACCATAGATTTTTGTTCCTGTACTGAAAAGTCCGTATAGCTTTATGTGCTAGATTAAACAATCGACAGTAAAATTAATGGTTATCTTACTATTCCTTATATTCACCTTGTTAGTTGTCACTCTTATCACTAAAACATAAGGGCTAGTGAAACTTTTCAGCATAATGAATGTTATACTCATGAAATGACTAGTAATGTAGTTAGTAGCTTGATTTTTACCGAAACGTCAAAAATTGATAGGAATAATAAACTGCAAAACCGAGTTTATATCGTGACAAGACAGATTTTGATATTGAAGTTTGATAAGAAAAACAGGTGAATAGAAATAAGTTGTGTTGGGGGGATTGGAAGTTAGCTTGGTGATTGAAAATGAGTGAGGCGATTTAATTGCTTCATTTGTACACACAGTTCTGCTTGGTTTATATGTGTTGTGGAAGTTTCAGCAGCTAAATAAGGCAACAGGTCTGTGTTTTTAGTAGATTTCTACTCACTACGTGAATAACTTAGAATTTTTAATTTAGCCTCATGGAATGACCATTGTTCACAAAGTGTGCAGTCCTTGTCAGTCAGCTACAACGTAGGACCAGGCACATATATGCATCGGTCCAAGTTGCCATACGTCATTAACACAACAAGATGGACACCGGATTCATAAAAGTAGTTAATTCAGAGGTGGTAATATATAAAAGAAAGATTGCAATAAGGATATAGTACAGGAAGAAAGAATTAGTTCGTAGAAAGAAAGATATGAAGTGGTTTTAATCTTAGTTTAAGAGAAGATAGTGTATACACCTACGCCAATGTGATCGATTCTGAGCCATGTCACCAATAGTCTCCAACCATTGGTTGCGATAGTCACGCGGACCCCAACCAAGTAGTCTGCATCTACCAACATGGCTCAGACCAGAAGTTCGTGTCTTCAAGCACTGATACCACGTTTTGGTTTGGCCGCCTCTAACTTTCTTTCAACCATCCCCAACCCCGGTTAGCATTGCACGTCATGGTAATCGGTGTTCAGGCATACGCAACACGTGGCCCAACCATCTCAGTTGATGAAGATTTACAACCTCATCAACTGATTTACCATCATTCCCTAATGATCTCCAGTCCTTGAGTGCAGTATGGATCTGTTTCAATATACAGATAGTGTTCTTAAATCTACAGCGATTACGATGATAAATATAATTTCTAACTTTTCAGCTCCCTTAACTATCCAACGCCTATCTGGAGATTGAAGACGTAAAATCCAGGCAAATCAACCATGTATTCACTAAGTTCCATCCAGTTATTTTTATTGCTGTTAATTTCATATTCAACTTTTGCTCTTCATCTTGTAAGTTGTGTTTCTCTGTGCCGAAGCATGATATGGTACACTGAGAAGATTAGCATATATGATAATTCCTACATTTTTTATGAGCATTATCAACAACTGTCATTTTCCGTGACACGTGATTGCTGTTCGAGATTAAAGAAATAGCCTATATATAATTAAAACAACTTAAATGAATTGTTCTTGAACAGTTTAAGCTGTTTCAATATTATTTTGACAGTGGTTGTAACCAATGACTGGATGTCTCATTGGGTAAATTACAGTTTTGGTAATGAATCCACAATTATTTTCTCATTTATTTCGATCATATAATTACTGAGCGTTTATTTTATTTCTGTCTAATGTTGCTTCCTGATTTTTCGTCGTATCTTTACAACATGGAGTAACTTTGATCGATACATTCTTGTGGTAGACTCTATAGACTTATTAGCTTTTTCACAAGAGGATTATGTACCTCAGTAAACGTACCTAAGTCAGTTATTTAGCTATACAAATTAATTGCATTGTGTTTTTACTTCTTTATTTTGTAACCTAGTCCCAGTTATGCTCTTTCTCATTATGTCAATCAACTGTTATCACTCGATCTGATTTATTTAGACGTGATATACGTCGCGTACTTGTTACAGACTTTTTTGGTAGCGTGCGTCATATAATCCCTGGACCAGTTATAGAAATTAGCAATTCCACTTTGTATAAGAACAATACATTGTAAGTTCACTGAACATGCACATAATTATTTTTTTGATTGAGAACAAAGTGTATTTGAGAATGGACAGTTTGAAAATGTAAATCCACTCTTCCTAGTCTAGTTCAACTCATTTTGTATAAGGATAAAAAAACTTGTTTTATGTAGTGTAATTATATTTGCACTGCTCGACTACTTAATAATCTTTTAAACACAGTTATTTAAATACAGCACGGTTAACAGCTTGATATCATCTATCTATATAAAGCAGGCCTAATAACTTTGAAAGAACTTGTTCGAATTCTATAATGATTCTGTTTATTTTAACAGAAGTAGTCTCTTAGTAATTGAATTATTCATCATCCTATCAGTATACGTCACATGTTCAACCTCCATTCTACCTACTTTAGTTAAAGCAGCTGCGTTGGTATTACTATATCAGTGGTTGAAATTCATGACCCCTTTTGACGGAAAATTAAGAGTGGTTATAAATCTTTAAAAATAAGCTACTGGTTAGCCTGAATTTCTAAGTGTATCGTTATGTGATTAGGAGTGCATTTTGTATCTCCTGTATGAATTATTTAAAACGACTGTTAATAATACACTATTGTAATACGACTAGTTATAATCCATATAAACTAGTAATCACTTTGCAATAAAAACTCATTAACCGTTCAGCACTAATTAAATGTATAGTTTACATTCTTGATCTTGGTGTCCCGAACCTCGCGGTATAATAGTGGTGTAAACATGATCAATATGCGTATTGAGTTGATTCTACGTGTGATGCATCTTGATAACAGGAATATCGTTCAAATACTCGTCTCTCTTTATGAATAATATAGTCTAACAATCTGCAAAAGTCTCTCCAATTCTTTTTTGCCTATGTTCTTCATTACTTCACTTTTTCGATGGAAGTGTATTAAAAATGAGTTTGTTCACCTAACATCCAAATAGTGATTCAAATGTGTTGGTCGACACCAACGGATTACTGAGTTTATGTTACGCAGCCTGAAAGTAATAACTCATCTTGTTCATTTTCAAAAGTGGTTGTACTATAAACAGAATAAAGATTTAGGTAAAATGTCATTGGATGTTGTAATTCAGTCGGTTATTAATGTAGTTGGTTCCATAAGGTCTAAAACCAAAATTTTCGTGTTGTGATTTCAATATACCTGAGATACCCGACAAATAGGGCTTCTTGTGTGACGGAGATAATTCGTTCTCATATTTGTGTTAATATCAACGTTAAGTGATTTTCTAATGTAGGAAAACTATATTCAGTGAAATGAGTGTATTTCTACAATCGTGGGCTGATCAAGCGCAATAGGTATCTGTGAAACTAACATTTCCACGCTAGTTATTAAAGATGTACATGTTTAAATTCGTAAAGCGTTAAAAAGGGTGTTTTAAACGGCTATTTTCTCGAAGATTCCTTGTTTTAGTTTTTGTGTACCTTGTCTACGTATCCAATTTTCTTTTTCATTGCTACAATGTCCTTCTATTTTTTTTCTTTATTTTATGATTATAGAATTAAACACTGAATCGAAGCAATTTTCGTACGTTACACCTCTCAACGTGTATCTGTGATATTAGTTTTTTAATTAATATATTATTGTACAATCCGTTAGACCGTGTACATACATTTTTTTCTTTTATAATTGTTTTAAAATTTATTTAATTTCGTTAATATGCCATCATAACTTTTGTAATACCACAGGGAAGGGCTAAGTTTGTCAATCGCTATAAATTATCAGCCTATTCATGCTATCAGTAGAGCTTTATGGTTTGACCTTATCGAAGTAGTTTTTAATTTCCTAAGTGATAGTGTAATTCCGTTCGGTGCAGAAATACATGACTGACACTTGTTTCAAAGGTTAGTTTGAGATATGAAGTTCTTTGTGACAGTATTTTCAGATTGAGGAATATCACCATGTTATTCCAGTTATTGTTTACGGTAAAATGGCGTGGATGCTAACTGTTTTATGAACTTGTTTATCTACAGGGTATGATTAAACGGTTATTTGAGTCCCACTTAACCATTTGCAGCATCACGCTTGTCACTGTTTTCATTTTCTATGAGAGAGCATTATTTTAACGTTAAATAGCATCCAAATTCAGGAATGATGTCGTTATACATTAACCTTGTAATGTATGACAACCCAAACACATCGGAACCACTCATCGCCATGCAGCATAAGACCAGAAGTCGACTACAAATAACTTGCGGTTAAGTATTTTCCACACAACCGGTGACACTAGGCATAAACAGCAGCAGAAGATTTGCGTATGTGCGTTTTAAATGATGAACCAAACAGAACGAACATTACTCATTATTCCGAATAATCGTTGTGAGAGATAGGTTTAATAATATGATACGAAGTCCTGTTTACCGTTGGTCTGACTGCTAATTACAATCGTTAATATTGCTCAAAAACGAATAATATATATTATGACAAAGATACAGGCGTTAGGTAGAAAAATAGTGATCGATAAGTGCATAATCGTAGAGATACAAGGGCATCAAAATGAGACATTTATGCTAAGGATCAGGATCTCTTATGAAGACGGCTGTTGCGAAGGTGAAAATAACTCAACAGTCACATGCTGTCACTAGGGTCTGTTTAAAGTTAGGTTGAATATGTGAGTGCTTATTGGTAGTAAACACTACAGCGGTTTGTCTTCTTCCAATTCTTCCGTTTATTAGCTTTGTTCATGAGCACGGTTTAACTCATGAGGACTGTCTACGTCTTGGAGAGAACTTCGGGACTGCCATTCTTTTCAAGCAGTTTTACTTTCAAAATAAAATTTCATCCATCCTGTCCGATACACAGAACAATTATAGGACAGTATTTTCACTTGACACTTCCCGTCGCAAAAGACTGAAAAGTTCCGTATCAGAGAGGAATGCAAACTGAAAGAGGCAAAACGATTTATATTTATTGCAAAGGCTAGTACCACAAAGTTTGCACGAATTTGACACCTGCGTCTTTCAACCGGTTTAATAAAATCGGGATCCTACAATGTGTTTGACGTAACTGTAGTTGCTACTCCAACGAAATTTGTCGAATAGGCACAGGACCTAAGAAAGAACCTACATAACGACATAAGAGAAAGTCCTACCACCCTTAAATGTGGTCGAGATACTGAAGACCGGTCATAGTGACAGGTCAGTTATTTTTCATAGGGTCAAAGAGAGTGAAAGCTCTGAATCGAAAACTCGTTTTGAGCATGATATTGCGTTGATAAAAGAACTACTAAATCAACCTATGCTTCAAAATATATCCGGAGTCACCTAGCTAAAGGTGTATAGATTAGGTAGTCAAGTAAACTTAAAACCAAATCATACCAGGCTGCTTAAAGTAGTAATCAAATCTCCTAATGAACGGAAATTATTTTTAGAGAATGGACATAAATTAAAGGGTTCAGGAGTTTTCTTCTGTAAGGTCTTGCCTCTGGCAGACTGTGTAAAAAGACGGGAAGCCGAAAAAGAACTACAACTTAGGTTAGACGCTGGCGAAAAGGACATAAAAGCTGTAAACTTTCGGGTTGCAAGTCTTCGACAGAGAATGATGCCGAAGCCACTCTGGGTGAAGCACGAAGCCAATTAAATAGGCTTCGGGTCTGTTACACCAATACCAGAAGCTTGCTCAATAAGCGATCGGAACTGGGTGTACAGATTGACTCTACAAAGCCAGACATAACCGCAGCAACAGGAACTTGGCAGACGCATCCTATAGATAAAATGGAACCTGATTTTGAGGGTTTTGCGTTGGTAGAAATAGACAGAATCCGGAAGCGTATAGGAGGGGCAGTAGTTCTATTAATTAGGAAAGATTTCCAATTTGCTATTATCGACAGTGCAGCCTGTAACAGCTTAGGTTGATTGGTTCAGAGTTGACCGCATACAACTAAGCATATGTCAAAACAGTATAGTCTAAGTATTCATTCCATTCCTTATTTTGTATAGACCTTATATTTTATATTATCTTATGTTGAATGTTGAGAGTCTCTGTTAGTCTGAACAGGTATTCCGCGATTCTGTGTGACTTCACGATAATCTTAACAAAAACCTATTCACTACTAGTCTGTTTTTTTCTATCAGTAGCACGAAGGTTACTTACAGGCACGAAACTGGTGAGCCTGACGTGAAAGAGTAGTGTAATGGCATTAAGCCCTAATGACACAATCCACAAGGCTGAACACGAGACAATCGGGTAAATAGATATTCAACGTCTAACACGGAGAAAAACCCAACGATGAGGAGGGCGGGGACAAGGAGTTGAATTAATTCTGGTTGATCGGATGGCATGGCTCGTCCCTGCAAGTGTGGTCCCTGTTGAATGTCCTTTCTTCATATCAAATATATTGCTCTATTTCTAGCCTTCGCTTGTTCTCCATCATGTATTGGTGATTGTTACGATGCAGTGAGTTGGTGTAGACGACAATGTGACCTCCACATAAGAACTTATAGATTAGGCAGTTATATCATGACAAATCTACAATTTTAGGATTAAGTCCATCATTAGCGCATTACCAATATCATAGTAAACCATCTTTCTACAAGCCCATGGGAGTCGCATAGGTGAATTAGCTGGTTGTCGTTTGAAATGCAAGGGACAAGAGCTGCTGAGTACTCTGGTCTATCGCAGTCCAGGCTGTGAGGTATATGGTTCTTGCTAAACAGTCTCAATACTTGGTTAAAAAGTGATCGACGTCTAATCCTATGGTTCTTTAATGCACCCACGGTAGACTGGGAAAATCTGCGAACTGAATTGTTAGATAATTCATTTGAACAAGAACCAGTTGATGTGGTTATCACATGTGCCCTGGTGCAACATGTAAAAGAATCGACTAGGTACGACCCGGACACTGAATCATCCTTACTAGATCTTATATTGATTGATTATGGGGGTGAGGTTACGAACCTCGATTATATGCCACCCCTAGGTAAAAGTGATCAAGCAGTTCCAACTCTTAACTTCCATATAATCGTCAAAAACGAACACGCGTCATGTGAATCCAGACCTGACATCTGGAAAGTAAAAACATACGAGATATAATACACTTATCATCGTCAGTAGATTGGACAATACAGCCAGAATCCTTGATTGAAATGGTTTAGGATGTCTTTTGAAATTTGTACGGAAAAGTTATTTCACCCCACATCCCTTGGACCTTAACAAGGGGGCCGAGAATCTCTCCACCATGGTTCAGTAGGGAGGTTCACATTCTTCTCCGTAAAAGAAGAAAAATGTGGGACAGATTTAGATTACTGGGGACTGATGAGACAAAATCCCAGTATCGAAAAGCTCGAGATATCTATGCCTCGACTCTCCGTATGTCTAGAAAGTTGTACGAAGAGGAAATCGTTAAGGAATCCATAGAATGTCTTAAACGCTTGTATTCCTATATAAACCAAAGGACAAAAAGAAGAGGAAATATTCCTGCACCACGGGGAGACAATACTGCCGCATCAATAGTGGACGGCGACTTTAGGAAGGGTCAAGTTTTCTCAAACTACTTTAGCAATGTATATACCATAGGACCCAAGGTCGTTCACCAAAAGTCTGGGAGAACGTCACAGTAAGTCTTGTCTTAAAAACAGTTCCGAAACAAAAATCTGAGGATTACCGACCCATGAGGTTAACTGATGTGATTGTTAAAATCTTAGAAAAGATTATACGGCAGGAGCTGTTTACGTATCTCGACGAAAACCGGATCCTTCCGTAAAAACAGCATGATTTCAGAATAGGTTATTCTTGCCTCCCTAAATTATTAGTGGCTCGTGAATGCTGGTGGGCTCTTAAGAACCAAAAGTTACCTGGAGATGTAACCTACATTGACTTCAGCATAGCTTTTGACAAGGTTCCGCACAACTGGCTGTTATATAGATTAAGAAATGTCGGGGTTGGAGGCAATATATTGATGTGGATAAAAGACTTCTTAGTTGGGCGTCAACAAAGAGTTCGGGTGAACTCAAAGTTATCTAGCTGGGAAACTGTGCTTAGTGGAGTGTCCCAGGGTACAGTTTTGGGGCCAATGCTATTCCTCTTGTATGTAGATGACCTTCCGCGTCTCCTATCACCATCGGTTTTGCTATATGCTGACGATGTCAAGGTATGGAGAGCTGTGTAGCGTGGTGTCGAGTTGAGGTTAACTATGAACACCGCTACAAAGAAACACGTGCCAAATAGATCAGAAGGCGAAGGTTGAACGTAACCAAAGAAACCCATAAAATCTCCGAGAAGCCAAATATCAGAAGACAGTTAATGGACCAAGTCGAGGTTTATTAGCTGGCGATCTCGTGGCATCGAAAGGATACCGAGATCGTGCCAGGATACAACCTTGGTTACAGAAGGTAACCGAATTTGCGCGAAGTTACAATCGAAGTGTAATTATAAGAATGGAAGCACAAAATAGCTGTCATTAGCACAGTCAAACAAAAGCACCTTAAAACAAACACTGGTACAGTTGGTTATAATAATAATTGTTTTTATTAAACCAGTCGTGTTCTCGTGATAAATGTGAGTCACTACAGCTG